AGCACTATTCACGATCAGACTTTTTACAGACTCAAAGCTCTCCTGAGCCTCAGGTGACCAAATGAACGGAACAGAGCCGCGTAAAAGCATGCGCAGTGGCTCCACCACGGTAGCGAAGTTTGGTATAAATTTAGAATACCATGACGTAAGACCCAGAAATGAACGAAGACTAACCTCGTCAGCAGGAGGTGGGGCATCTGCCACTGCAGAGACATGTGAAGCATCAGGCCGCAAACCCTTCTCAGACAGCGTGTGACCCAGAAATGATAGTTCTGATTGTCTGAAGTGACACTTTGCGGTGTTCAGTTTGAGTCCTGCCTTGTTAATTCGCTGCAGCACGGATTGTAGGTTATCATCATGTTCCTCAAGTGTTGCTCCTGAGGCCATGATGTCGTCTAAGTAGCAATGAGCCCCAGACTGACCTTTAAGGATTTCAGACATCATCCTCTGGAAGCAGCTTGGAGCTGAGGCCAGTCCATATGGAATCCTTTTGAAACGAAATAACCCATCATGCGTAATAAACGCAGTCAGGTTCCGACTTTCCTCGTGCAACTCAACCTGATGGTAAGCACTTTGGAGGTCTAGTGTGGAAAACACCGTAGCTCCGCACAGATTTGCGAACATCTCCTCCATATGCGGAAGAGGAAAACTGTCCACAACAATGGCTTTATTAGGCTCCCGTAAGTCGACACAAAGCCGAATACCCCCGTCTTTTTTTCTGGTGACCACTATCGGTGAGACCCACTCAGATGCATCCACAGGCTCGATTACGTCCTGTTGTACAAGCTTCTGTAATTCCTTGGACACCTCGTCACGGATTGAGAAAGGCAAGCGCCTCAGTTTCAGTTGAATGGACTGAACCTCAGGCCGAATCTTGACACGATGCACAAATCCTCTTGCACATCCCAATCTGTTTTCGGAACTTGCAGCTACAGACGAGACAGACTGCGCACACTGAGCTGTACTGACCTGGCCATCACATAATTGTAAACACAGTCCCGTAAGAAGATCTCTGCCCAGCACAGCTGAGCCCTTTTGTACAATGTATAGGTCTGCAGTAGTGCAACGGTCACCGTATGAGATACTGGCTGGCAAACATCCTTTCACATCAATTACATCACCCCCAAAACTAACTAGACCGAGTTTCGGTGGTGAGAGGGGTGCTTGACTGAACGATCCAGTGTAAATTGACATTGGTAGTATAGACACAGCTGATCCAGTATCTACCATTAGCTGAATGTCCCGTTTTTGTCCTGTGCTTATGCGTATTTGTACTGTACACATTATTTTGCCACAGTCACGAGCAGAATGTTCAACATTTAACACAGTCACTTCAGGCACTGTAATTTCACTCACCCGTTTGTTTCCACGGCATGCCTTAGCGTAATGTCCTTTTTTGTTACAGTTCCTGCACACTGCGTCCTTAGCAGGACATCCGGGAAAATTAGCTGCGTGTTGCTCAGAGCCACAGCGGTAGCAAGTAAGTGCACGGACTTTATGTTTGCTCCATCGGGGCCTGTTATGTTGTTGAACTGCTTGTACTGAGTTGTCGGATGATGCTATCATCGCTTTGGCTTCCGCTGTAGCAATTTCAATTTGCCGGGCGACAGTCACAGCTTTTTTAAGGTCGAGTGGTACTTCCAACAGCAGCCGTTCTCTGACGCGCGTTGAATTAGTCTTTTCAACCAGCTGATCGCGTATCATCTCATCCTCCATAGCGCCGAATTTGCAGGTGGCAGCCAGTTCACGGAGAGCAGCGATATACTGGTCTGTGGATTCGCCCGCGCGTTGACTGCTGCGTTGCCGGAAGCGATAACGTTCAGCGACCACGTTAACTTTAGGAATGAAAAAGTCCTGGATTGCACTCAAAGCAGAAGCGTACGTATCATCTCCCTGTTGACTCACATTCAGAGTGTAGAACAATCTTTGCCCTTCGGCTCCGAGGCAGTGTATCAGCAGAGCACGCTTCCTAGCATTAGATAGCTCCTCTCCCAGGGCCATCAAGAAATTGTCGAAAGTTTTAATCCATGCCGTGAACGGGATCGGTGGTTCTCCTGGTGTTTGCAGGAACGGGGTGGGTTGGCTCAAACTCAAAGCCATCCTCGTCGCCAATATGTTGAGTGCCTCGAAATAAATGTATTAACACCGTTACTGAACTTAACGTGTCATTCTCTTTATTCTTCCACCTCACATGTTCTTCACTTCTCTCTTTTCATTCCTGTCTTACACACCAGAGCTCCCTCTAGAGGTTTACTATAGAACACCACAGTAACGATCAAAGAACATTTAAAAGTAACGATCAGAGAACATTCAAAAGTAACGATCAGAGAACATTCAAAAGTAACGATCAGAGAACATTCTAAAGTAACGATCAGAGAACATTCTAAAGTAACGATCAGAGAACATTCAAAAGTAACGATCAGAGAACATTCAAAAGTAACGATCAGAGAACATTCAAAAGTAACGATCAGAGAACATTCTAAAGTAACGATCAGAGAACATTCTAAAGTAACGATCAGAGAACATTCAAAAGTAACGATCAGAAGTAACGATCAGAGAACATTCTAAAGTAACGTTCAGAGAACATTCAAAAGTAACGATCAGAGAACATTCAAAAGTAACGATCAGAGAACATTCAAAAGTAACGATCAGAGAACATTCAAAAGTAACGATCAAAGAACATTCAAAAGTAACGTTCAGAGAACATTCAAAAGTAACGATCAAAGAACATTCAAAAGTAACGTTCAGAGAACATTCAAAAGTAACGATCAGAGAACATTCAAAAGTAACGATCAGAGAACATTCTAAAGTAACGATCAGAGAACATTCAAAAGTAACGTTCAGAGAACATTCAAAAGTAACGTTCAGAGAACATTCAAAAGTAACGTTCAGAGAACATTCAAAAGTAACGATCAGAGAACATTCAAAAGTAACGATCAGAGAACATTCAAAAGTAACGATCAGAGAACATTCAAAAGTAACGTTCAGAGAACGTAACGATCAAAGAACATTCAAAAGTAACGATCAAAGAACATTCAAAAGTAACGATCAGAGAACATTCAAAAGTAACGATCAGAGAACATTCAAAAGTAACGTTCAGAGAACATTCAAAAGTAACGATCAGAGAACATTCTAAAGTAACGATCAGAGAACATTCAAAAGTAACGATCAGAGAACATTCTAAAGTAACGATCAGAGAACATTCTAAAGTAACGATCAGAGAACATTCTAAAGTAACGATCAGAGAACATTCAAAAGTAACGATCAGAGAACATTCTAAAGTAACGATCAGAGAACATTCAAAAGTAACGATCAGAGAACATTCAAAAGTAACGTTCAGAGAACATTCAAAAGTAACGATCAGAGAACATTCAAAAGTAACGTTCAGAGAACATTCAAAAGTAACGATCAGAGAACATTCTAAAGTAACGATCAGAGAACATTCAAAAGTAACGATCAGAGAACATTCTAAAGTAACGATCAGTGAACATTCTAAAGTAACGATCAGAGAACATTCTAAAGTAACGATCAGAGAACATTCTAAAGTAACGATCAGAGAACATTCTAAAGTAACGATCAGAGAACATTCAAAAGTAACGATCAGAGAACATTCTAAAGTAACGATCAGAGAATGCGTTACTATTTTAACGTGTCATATTTCTGCATGGAGAATAACTAGAAACAGCAGCATCAGGTAAACGCTCACACACACACACAAACACACTCTCTCACACGCCGCGCGCACACACTCTCTCTCTCTCTCACACACTCTCTCTCTCTCTCTCTCTCTCTCTCTCTCTCACGCACAAACAAACCTGTCATTCTTCAGTAAACATCGATACTTTTCTCAGAAAAGTCATTTCTTCAAGTCGCCTCCATTTCAACAATGGAAACTTGCCGCTCGATAAAAAATAATGTTCCTTAAAAGTGTTCCTTTCTTCGCTTCCATAAAAGAGGTAAAACTACAGTGATGCGTTAAAGGAAGAGTTTACATCGACACGAGAACACACACAGTCTTCTTATGGAATGATTTAAATAGCAGCTTTCAGTGTCATTAGAGTTGACGTCAGATTGTGGGTTATGAGTCGACTGAAAGCTTTTTACCGTCAATCGTTCTGTATGACTATTCCCTGAGGTCAGAGGTCAAAGGTCAAGGCAGACTGTCAGCTGGCAGCGACACACACGACACCAGACGCTGGTTCCTTCTGTTCCCAAGACCTTGCGATGACATTATCACACTTACTGTACATCAGCTAAATATTCCATTTTTAAATAAATGCAGTTTCTATTCACTAAAGAATCCTGAAAAATAAAATGCATCACAGTTTCCACAAAAATATGAAACTGTGTTCAACACTGATAATAATCATAAATGTTTCTTGAGCATCAGATCCTCATATTAGAGTGATTTCTGAAGGATCATGTGACACTGAAGACTGGAGTAATGATGCTGAAAATTCAGCTTTGATCACAGGAATAAATTACACTTTACTGTATATTCACATAGAAAACAGCGGATTTACATTGTAAAAATATTTCAAAATTTTTACTGCATTTTTTATCAATACGAGACTTTTTTCAAAAACATAAAAAAATCTTACCCGACTTTTATATACAGAAGTGTTCATTCTTGATTGAACATGTCAATGATTTTGCGTTACAACCAAAAAAAAAAGATCAACTGATTTGATGAATCAAAATTAATTTACACTTTATTTTGATGGTCCACCTTAGACATTCGACTAACTCTCATTAGATTATTAGGAGACTGTTCGGGTCAGAATAAGTCATTTACTTGCAAAGTTACTTGAGGAGCATTAAATAAGAGTGATCAGATATTAGGACGGTCACTAATACTGTAATAACAGCAAACACTGGGAGCTGATGAACACACAGCACAAGCTGTCATTCTCTCCGTCTCAGAGGTTTAACAGTGTTAATTGGATCACAGTAACATCCATCCCTCTCGGCACTGACTGACCCGCTTACACACACACACACACACACACACGTTTACTGCGTTTACTGTGTTTACTGTCGCTGGAGCTCAAGGACAACATGTTCAGAACAATTTACCGGCACGCAAAGAAACATCCAGGGGTGAGTCCAACTTTGCCTGGTTTAACACACTTCATATATGTATAATATTATCAATCTGACTCTATTGACACTAGATTATAGAAAATCAGATCAGAACAAAACTAAATCATGATAATCTTTTTTTCAAGCTGCTTTACAGCAGAATTTGTCTTATAGTTGATGAAGTTTGCATCATTGATTTTCCTGTTTGTTTCTGTGAAACCGTTTTGAAACAGTATTCTACAGGTGAAACTGGAAAAATTAGAATATGGTGCAAAAGTTCAGTAATTCAACTTAAAAGGTGAAACTACTATATTATATAGACTCATTACATGCAAAGTGAGATATTTCAAGCCTTTATTTGTTATAATTGTGATGATTATGGCTTACAGCTTATGAAAACTTTTCACAATATTCTAATTTTGAATTTGGGGTTTTCATAAGCTGTAAGCCATAATCATCACAATTATAACAAATAAAGGCTTGAAATATCTCACTTTGCATGTAATGAGTCTATATAATATAGTAGTTTCACCTTTTAAGTTGAAATACTGAACTTTTGCACCATATTCTTATACAGGTTTCACCTGTATAAAGCGCTGTGGAAATAAACGTTTAAAGCGATATAGACTTCAGTCCTCTTTTGTAATCCTGCATCACTGTAATAGTTCTTCTGAGAACGGAAAGGGCTTTTATTGACCTTCCAATTAATAGTTTTACTGTAGAAACTTCACTACAGTGAGCGATTTACTTCACCGCACACAAAAAATAAAGGATAAACCCAAACGAACAGAACAGACATCGCTTTCTGTCCTGAACAACAGCTCCATTAGTGCGAAGAGTGTGTGATGACCCAGATTCCCGTGTTTGGCGGGTTACCAGAACTAAAGGAACGACTGTTACGCAAACGCCAGTAACAGATCTTAAGAGTGATAAGATTATTATCTATTTACTGCTGCGTCTTCAAGTCGAGTCTCCTTCATTTATACAGCGCTTTAACAATATAGAGTTGAACAGCAGCTTTACAGTGATAACAGGAGATTACAGTAACAGTGTTTAGGCTTTACAGCAACTCTAGAATAAAGTTATTGTCCGGATAAGGTTAGTTTTGATTGATTCACTTCCGTTGTAAAGATCATCAGTGATTAACTTAGGGGCCGCTAACACGACACACTGTAAAAAATAAACCGTAATTTTTACGGTAAAAAATTGGCAACTATGGTTGCCAGGACTTTACCGTCAAAAATACGGTAGCAACGTTATTGGTTTTACAGACTTAACTTAAATTTTACAGTAATAAACCGTATTTTATTATCTGATATAATGTTAATTTACCGTCTTATTGAAGTATTAATATCTGTTTTAGACCATTGTAAAACACTGACAACCGCCAATCTCAGCAGTGATGAGAGTCAGGTGATCAATAAAAGCTCATCACAAGCAGCTCTTCCACAAGAGTATTAATACTATTATAGAAGCTGCACAGTGTAATTCACACTAATGGTGTGTTCACACCGAACGCGAATTTAATTATTTGCGCGAGTAGATTACATACAAAGTCCATGCAAAGACGCGAATAGACGCATCATTCGCGCCGGGCGTTGCGAATGACGCGAATTGGGCGACGCGTTTGCCGCGAATGTCTTCCGCGCAAGTTGAAAAAATTGAACTCGAGCGAATGTTCAAGCGTCTAACTAGACGCGATAGACGCGTATTTGACGCTCTTTTCGCGTTCGGTGTGAACACACCATAACACTAAACACCATCATGGTAACATGTTGAATTTTTTTTAAATGCAGTAAACATTAATTTAACAACATTAAATATAACATGAAACCCTAATGTACATAACTGATTAGAAAAAGAAAACTATGAAGAAAGTTATTTTAACAAAAATACATCAAATGTGAAGTGTCATGCAGGGAATTGTGGGAATGTCAATTTACGGTTTTTCACTGTAAATTATACAATGAGTTGCTCTTTTTCACTTTCAAAAACTGTACATTTAACGGTATTTTACAGTAAAATTACATTAAATGTACCATTAGATCTATCACAGTTATTTACCGTATATAGTACGGAAGCTTTCTGTTAACCAATTAACAGTTTTTCACTGTAGCATTCTTTTTGTAGCATTCTTTTTGTACTGTAGCGTCTTTTACCGTTAAAATCACGATCATTTTTTACAGTGCACCGCTCTACAGAACACAGAAACTATTAATGTGTTCTGGCCAATCATTCACACACAACAGCGTTTGAGTTCGAGAACACACACTCTGAGCTCGAGAACACACACTCTGAGCTCGAGAACACACACTCTGAGCTCGAGAACACACACTCTGAGCTTGAGAACACACACTCTGAGCTCGAGAACACACACTCTGAGCTCGAGAACACACACTCTTGAGCTCGAGAACACACACTCTGAGCTCGAGAACACACACTCTGAGCTCGAGAACACACACTCTGAGCTCGAGAACACACACTCTGAGCTCGAGAACACACACTCTGAGCTCGAGAACACACACTCTGAGCTCGAGAACACACACTCTTGAGCTCGAGAACACACACTCTGAGCTCGAGAACACACACTCTGAGCTTGAGAACACACACTCTGAGCTGGAGAACACACACTCTGAGCTCGAGAACACACACTCTGAGCTCGAGAACACACACTCTGAGCTCGAGAACACACACTCTGAAACAGGATCCAAGGTGCAAGTTTTGATTTTTTTTTTTAACGTGATCATCTCCGTGTAAGCTTCAAAAACGTGAATCTGTGAGAACGCTGACGGCACACATGCCTATCACGTGTTTAGTCTATAGATATGTGCGTTTGAATATATATGTGTCTTTCTTTACACATTGACATCGCCAAATTACTCGTCCGGACTTAAAAATTCATAATACAGAATTTTTAGTCGTTTCGCGCGTATCCATGCGAGCTGGAATAACTTTGATAACAATTAAAGAAAAGAAAAATCTTCACCGGTAACACTTTACTTGAAGGGGTGTGCATAAGACTGACATGACCCCCTTATAATCATGACATGACATATGAATATGAAGGAGGTTTTATGCATGTTTGTGTCAACTGTCATTAAGTGTCATTCGCTCAATTATGACATTTGTAATGCACATATGACATTGTTTGAGATGTATTTGTTATGACAACTTGACATAAACCAATACATCATAACCTGTCAGTGACTTTGTCATAACAACTTGACATTACCAAAAGAACATAAATATGTCATAAACATGACATAGCAGATTAATTATCAAACTTAAGAAAGCACTAGCTTTATGGTTAACATTACATTAAACTGTCAGGTGGCTGGTTTTGACATTGGCTGTCATGAGGCCATTATAACATTTTAATGACAAATTCAATGTGTACCACTGTAGTTAAGGTCAAGAAACATATTCATGACACAGTTATAATGCCTCATGACAGCCAATGTCAAAACCAGCAACATGACAGATTAATGTAATGTTAACCCATAAAGGTAAGTGCTTTCTTAAGTTTGATAATTATGTTTATGACAGGTTATGTGTTGTCTTGTTAATGTCAAGTTGTCATGACAAAGACACTGACAGGTTATGATGTATTGGTTTATGTCACGTTGTCATAAAGACATCTCAAACAATGTCATATTTGCATTCAAATTTTTTAAATTGAGCGAATGACACTTAATGACAGTTGTCATAAACATGCATAAAACCATGCATGTGTCATGTCATGATTATGAAGGTGTTATGTCAGTCTTATGCACACCCCTTCCAGTAAAGTGTTACCCCTTCATCTTATTCCTGTATTTTCAGAGGCCTGTGTATGTGAAACTGCAGATGGAAAACAGGACAAACACATTGTCTGATAAAATGACTTTTGCAGTCTTTATAACTTCTGTGAGGAGATATTTGACAGAAGGGACAGAAAGTAATACGTTTGCGTCTCTGAGTTTGTTGCAGGTCAGGAGCAGATGTTGCAGCAGATGCTGTTAGTCTCTCTCTCTCTCTCTCTCTCTCTCTCTCTCTCTCTCTCTCTCTCTCTCTCTCTCTCTCTCTCATCACACAGGTGTTACCGTGACTAACAAGTGTGACTTCACAAATAAATAAGAAAGTTGTTGTTTTCTTCACTTAAAAGTGTGATCACTGAATATGACGCTCATAAAAAGCGCACAGGAGAAAAGCACACTCGTGTGTGTGTCCATGAATTCGGCATTTGTACAGTTCTTGGTTATGTGAACGATAAGGGAACATTGCATTATCATTCTTCAAACCAGAGGTTTGTAAAGAGTGCCAGAAAACCATACTAGAGTAAAAGCACAGATGCCTTACAGCGAAATACTCCTTTACAAGTGACGAGTCGCCAGTTCCAGTACGACTGGAGTAAAAGTCTTCGAGTTTCTGATTTGAACAGTTCTTCAGTATTTTACTCATGCGGAATCGAGGCTCAAAGATGCTCTAGCCCTCGACACCTAAGAGACATGGTGATAAGAAGAAACAATTGATTTGTAAGATGATAAATCGTGTTTATTTTCTAAAATCGAAATACAACTGAATATTGCAATAAATAAAGGTCGACACAACAGCCTCTTAAACGTCTACACACTCTCACGTCTCAGTTCAGCTCAAGTGCACATAAAGGCCATAACTAAACCAATATCCTTCAAAAAGATGTCATAAATATAGTGGATAAATAAAATAATGTTTTGTAAAATTAAGATGTGCAGTTTTCATGACCTCATCATGATCATCTCACGTCTGAAACGCCTGAGATTGAGCAACTAATGCGCTCATGTAGAGCAGCCGTGTTCACGAGTGTGTGTGAGTGAAGAAGAAACACACATTATATCGTTCCTTCAGTGACCTTAGACGACCATATCGCTTCTTTATCGCAGAAACAAAAGAGTAGGAGTCGTGCAACATGTGCTGTGTAAGTGCATTACTCCTCACAAATGTCAAGAGTGTAATATATTTGACACTCAGTTAAACTACAAAGTAGCCAAAAAGATACTTAACTAATTACATTACTCCAATTAATTACAGCACTGCTTCAGACATTATGGAACGTTACTTTTGAGTAGTAACATTTAAAAAATGTCTGACTAACACATTTCAGGTAAGAAAAAATGATCCATGAACTACGTATAAATAATGTTTTTGTGAACATTATTAAACATCAGATAACTCTGAACGAACATTTGATTAATGTTCCTGTAAGAGAACTGTTCGCTTTCCATAGCACAATTATTCACAAAGAAGAACAATTAAAATCAACCTAAAAAAGAGAGATGTTTTAAAGTGTTCAGCAGGAAGGTAAAAAAAAAGGCTATAAAAAACATGGACTATAATGTGAAAAAAATTAGAGAAAATATTTTATTTTTATTTTTTATCTTCAATCAAAGTTCCCACTAATCAAACTCAGTATGAAGAGCTTGATGAGATGTGAAGCTACAACTACAAATGGTCATTTATAAAAAATACAAACAAAGAGTAAATGAAAATCAAGATCTAATACGTGAAACTTCATCATCATCATCATCATCATCATCACAGCACTGAAGCATCACATGACCACCGCACGCCCATCAGGATTGAGTTCAGCTCAAGATGAGAGAAAGCAAAGCAAAAACACATGTTGCGCTCGGTTTACGACGCTTAAACATATTTGATAAGCTAATTTGAATATCTGCCGGTAACCCCTGGGGGATTATGCAAATCACTGTTACAGGAGGCAGTTTTGACAACATAAGGCAAAGTCTGTGTCTGTCTGTCTCTCACTTTCTCCAACGCGGAAAACACACGGAAAAACTGACGCTTCACATTCCCTCTTTTAATATGTATTTCTATTCTAATCCCTGTTATCATTTACACACACACACTGACGTCTCCTGGTAGGATGTGTGTGTGCGTGTGATCCTGTCACTCAGTCTGATCGGCAGTAGGCTACACACACACACACACTAGCGACTGTGTCCTTCGTCGCTCAACCCAGACCGACACGTCTCCATGCATTTAAAAGAGAGTGTGTGTGTGTTCATTTAGACCTGAAACCTACTCGACACAAGTACATGAACACACACACACACTTCTAAATCCATTTCACACGCCGCCGCATCCTGAAACACGTCAGTCTTCTCAGTTTCGGCTCAGACACACTCATGATGAGCTGCAGTTCTCGCTGAGTTAGTAAAGTTACTCGAACCGGAGTCATTACTCGGGTATTTACACTCGTATAAAGTCACTTGCATTGTGTTCAAGGTGTGATGTCATCAGTTCATGCATCACTGAGGAAAGCTCTACATGTGACAGTGCAACTCATTTAAATGTTTATGGTATAGCTTTAGACAGTAGAGTATGCGCTTGCAACGCCAACATCATGGGTTCGTTTCTCAGGGAATGCATGAACTCATAACATATACACCTTAAATGCAAAGGATAAAAGCATCAACATCATGATTTTCTGTAAAGCTGCTTAGTCTGTATTGTCAAAATGCTCTATATACACAATAAAAAATGCTGGGTTGGTTTAACCCAATTTGGGGTCAAATATGGACAAACCCAAACGTTGGGTTAATTATATAAATTACATTTTTAACCCAACGGCTGAGTTAGTCCATATTTGACCCAAAGTTGAGTTGAAACAACCCAGCATTTTGTTTAGAGTAAATAACACTAGCAACCGTTTAACTCTTAACACACACACGCAGGACGGCTCTTGTGATGCGTTTGTCAGGCATTTTTGCACTTGCTTTACTTTAGAGTGAGTCTCTCACACACACACACACACACACACACACACACACACACACACACACACACACACACACACACACACACACACACACACACACACACACACACACACACACACACACACACACACACACACACACACACACACACACACACACACACACACACACACACACACACACACACACACACACACACACACACACACACACACACACACACACACACACACACACACACACACACACACACACACACACACACACACACACACACACACACACACACACACACACACACACACACACACACACACACACACACACACACACACACACACACACACACACACACACACACACACACACACACACACACCTTAGTGTGCAATAATATAGACACAGCAGGCATGTGTAATACAGTTTCAATGTTTTTGTTGTATTGTTTTGTATTATTTAGACATTTCATGTGTTTTAATGTCCTTATTTATTACTAATTATTGCCCTTTTTTTCTTGCATTGTCTATTCTATTTGTTTTATTGCTATATGCCATTTATTGAGGAACTTGCTTAGATTCATACACCCTAGTTTCTAATGTTTTTCTTGGTTAATGTTTTTATCCTGTGTTTTGACCGGGACCGTAGTACTTAATTTCGTTCCTTCATATAAAAATGTGTGTGTAATGACAATAAAAGAGCGTTGAGCCCTGATGATGTTCTCGTCCTCTTTCAGCTCATCCCTCAGTTCATCTTCTTGCTGGCGGGTTTGAGCGGAGCTTCTCTCTATCTGATCCGACTGGCTCGAGGACCTCATGTCAGGTGACACAAGAACACCATCACACTTCACAATGCAGTTACAGCACACATTCAGTTCAAAACACTTTATTTGTCCCCAAGGGGTAATTAACGAGGAGAGTCACGTAAACAGTGCACATAAAAACATCATCAATAAATAAATAACACAATGTGCACGGAATACACATTAATTATAATCTGCTACAAGTGGATGCCTAAAAAACAAGTTCATACCATGTATAAGAATGAATAAATACGTAAATATATAACCGTGTGCAAAACCATAAATACAAATAAGTTACGGCATGGTAAACAAGAGGGTCAGAGATGGTTCAAATGTGAACACACACATAAAAAGAAATGAACATGATTCACTCACCCTCATGTTATTCCAAACCGGCTTGAATTTCTTCATAGGAATAGAAGAGTAGTTTGGGTTACACTTTATTTTAAGGTGTCATTGTTACAGTGTAGTTATATATTTTAGTACTCAGTAATATTAAGCAACTACATGTACTTACTATAGGGTTTGGTTGAGGGTTAGTTGCATGTAATTATGCATAATTTACTGTTATTACTACATGGTAAGTACATGTAAAATATGTAACAAGGACACTGTGGAATAAAGACAGTACAAGACAATCAGTCACATGACATCTTAGTGGGCTGTTACTTTAAAGTCCCCCTGTGGAGAAAATCAAGCTTTTAAATGTTGTTTATGTGTCTATGTGGTGATATTAATACGCTTTAAGACAAGCCATGTGTAAGTTCATAAGTCGACAGCATTGCTGAGTATTTCCTCCTTAAAACTGCAGTGAACAGCCCATTCTCATCCCTAGGCGTCATGAAACTGACGCCTTGGGAATCATTTTGACCATGCTTCAATATTCGACGCTTTAGGCACCCTTTAGCGTCAGTTACATGATGCGATCCTAGGGCGTCATCTTGTTGCAGTGAACCAAAGACAGTCTCAAAAACACGGTTTGAAATCGCTGGTGTTTCTGACGTCACAAACGACCTTGTAACCAATCAGATCAACGTGTGATCGCCAACCAGTGGATCTCTGAGCTGAGGGAGTGAGTGGAGGCGGGGCTCATTTGCATATTCATAGAGCCGCGCATACTAAATGAGGCGAGGGTGTCGAGTTACATTCAAGATATTTTAAACATTTAAATATGTAATTTTGGTGATCAGAGATGAGCTTTAAGCGATACAATGATCGACTACAGGGGGACTTTAACAATGTGACAGTTCATTAGGCTCTGTAATGTAACTTATTCTAGCTTTTTAAAAATTCTAAATTCTGATTGGATGAGCTGTTTCTAGCGTCTTCTGTTTGTTGTGTGTATTAATTCATCCCTGTGAGAAACAACCTCGGCAGTCTGCCAACACCACTGGCCTCTGTCACCTCCGCCGGATAATTACCCTCCTTCAGTTTTACCCTCCTTTACAGTCACTCATCCTCATCCTCTTTTTTCCACTCGCTCTCTTTCTCCTCTCCGGTCTGGCCTTACCCTCATTCTGTCAGCTGGGACAGGAGGAATAACCCTGAACCGTGGAACAAACTCGACCCGACCTATCAGTACAAGGTAAACAGCCCAGCAACTGTTCTGTGATCAGCTGCAGACTGACAGCGCAGACAGATCCGTCTCTCCCGCTGTTCCCGGATCAGTTTCATCTCAGGCGAAGGAGAGATACGTGACAGGAGACGTCAAGCTGTACATTAGACACACACTTAGTGAGGTGCATCCCAATTCACCTACTTACTAGACACTATTCCATGCTGTTTCTAGTATAAATAGTGCGATTAGTGTTTTCTCAACAAGAACAAAGAAAATTTAACCCCAAAAAATAACACTTGCACTTTAATACACAGCTTTAAAGTCATGAAAGGGAGGTTGCGCTGGTGTTTTCTTCCCTATAGTGCCGTATATCCGAGCGAAACGCTTCTGGAACAAGAACAAATGACGTCAAGCTGTACATTAGACACACACTTACTGAGATGCATCCCAATTCACCTACTTACTAGACACTATTCCATGCTGTTTTTAGTATAAATAGTGCGATTAGTGTTTTCACAATGACATTTTGCACTTCAAATTCTCTTATTTAACTAAAAAAAACTAACAATTAGACACTTCATGCACATTAACACACAGCTTTAAAGTCATGAAAGGGAAGTTGCACTCATCTTTTCTTCCCTACACTCTTAAAAATAAAGGTTCCAAAAGGAGGCTTTTGCACTCACTTAATAATGTTGGGTTAAAAATAACCCAGCGAGTAACCCAACTATGGGGTGGTATAGCACTTTCCCAACTGTGGGTTAATTTAACGCAATGCATTGAGTTCAAAGCCAGTTGGGTTAAAAGTAACCCAACAGTTAAGTTAACTATTTATTTTTATTTATTTATTTATTTATTTATTTATTTATCTTAATAAATACAATACACTTTGTTTTCAAGATGGTTGATTTGTATAAAACAATAAATCTCTCAACAAATATATTTTTAAATTACAAGGTAAATATTGTGGAGCCTAGAATTTAATGTAAATAATATACATACTTGTGTACATAAATTCAAAATCCACAAGTTTATATACAACATTGATATTTAACCCAACAGACAGGTTATTACTAGAAATTACCCAATGATTTAAAAAATGACCCAACATTTTTGGAAAATAACCCAACATAGTGACCCAATATTTGTAACCCAACAGTTGGGTTAAAAAAATAACCCAATGTTTTTTACTGGTCATAGAAGAACCAGGTTCCCAAGAAAACCTTCCAGTGAAGAGTTCCTAAAAAAAAAAAGCATTTCTTCTTGGTGTGAAGAACATTTAAGGCCCAGTTTCACAGACCGGGTTTAGAATAAGCCAGGATTAGACTTTAGTTAAATTAGGACATTTAAGTAGCTTGTTTAAACGCGCAATAGAATAAAACATTACGGATGTGCATCCCGAGACAAAACAATGGCACTGATATATTTTAAGAAATGTCAGTGCAAGTTTTAGTGTGGGTCTGTGAAACCGGCCATTAATCTAAAGTAACCTTTTGTGCAAGGGAAAGGTACCATGGATTAAAGGTTCTTTAATCCATTAAGAACCTTTAATATCCATGGAACCTTCCCATAGCACAAAAAGGAACTTAATAGTGGAAAAGGGTTCTTTAGATTATTTAAATGTTCTTCACACCGAGAAGAAATGGTTCTTTTAGGAACTCTCTTTCGGGATCCTAAAATGGTTCTTCTATGCCATTACTGCAAAAGAACCTTTGGAACCTTTATTTGTAAGAGTGTATAGTGCCGTCTGGCAACACTGGCCGTATATCCCGAGTGAAACGCTTATGGAACAAGAACAATTGATTGGATGATTGGATGGTTGTGGTTTGCTATTGGCTGATCTCATGTGAGTGACAGGTTATAGCCCCGCCCACATCATCAGAGAAGAGAAGAGATACTGCAAGAGGAACTTATTCGGATTCAACATTACCAGGAACATGAAGTTTAAAACTATGCATAATTCATTGAGACTAAACAATGCAATATTCCGTTAAAAAAATAAGAATTTCATGGTGCCTTGTTTGTAGATAAGCCTTGTGCGCCCGAGGCTCGTGTGAAAAACACAGCGTTCGTTCACGTACGCTTTAGAAGGAATAATTTATATCGCAGCGAGTGAATGTTTTGTTCTCGTTTGGAACATCTTGATCACCTCCAACCATTAATGAAAGAATTAACAAAGGCAGACGGAGAGAATGAGAGAGGATTCCTCAGAGAAGACACGCGTGTTCATGGGAAGTTTGCGTTCAGGCTCACGAAAGGTCACGACTCGACATGTTTAATTCTCAAAAGGAGCCAAAGGTCAGAAATCAAAAATCCGGCAGCGTCTCAACATTAATCATAATGAGAGAAACAGGAGGCAGAGAGAGATCAATGTGAATATGAGAATAAAATAACACCGGCTGAAGAACGTGTCTCCTGTCACACATTCAGAACATAAACATGCTTTCTGTCACAGAAAACCTGACGCTCCGAGACCTTTTCACCAAAACACCAAAGCATGACCGCAGGAACTGTGGGATTGTTCCAGCCGTTTCATGGTCAAGCAGGAGAAATGATGCGTCTGGTCACTTAGTAAAGTAACAGCAAACTCTCCTCAAGAGGAATCATTCACGTCATAAACGCTGCATTACACTCAACTTTAACTAAAGATTGATCAGTAAATAAGCACATCTAATCAAAAGTAACATTCAGAGAACATTCAAAAGTAACGATCAGAGAACATTCTAAAGTAACGATCAGAGAACATTCTAAAGTAACGATCAGAGAACATTCTAAAGTAACGATCAGAGAACATTCTAAAGTAACGATCAGAGAACATTAAAAAGTAACGATCAGAGAACATTCAAAAGTAACGATCAGAGAACATTCAAAAGTAACGTTCAGAGAACATTCTAAAGTAACGATCAGAGAACATTCTAAAGTAACGATCAGAGAACATTCAAAAGTAACGATCAGAGAACATTCAAAAGTAACGATCAGAGAACATTCTAAAGTACCGATCAGAGAACACTCAAAAGTAACGATCAGAGAACATTCTAAAGTAACGATCAGAGAACATTCTAAAGTACCGATCAGAGAACATTCAAAAGTAACGATCAGAGAACATTCTAAAGTAATGATCAGAGAACATTCTAAAGTAACGATCAGAGAACACTCAAAAGTAACGATCAGAGAACATTCTAAAGTAACGATCAGAGAACATTCTAAAGTACCGATCAGAGAACATTCAAAAGTAACGATCAGAGAACATTCTAAAGTAACGATCAGAGAACATTCTAAAGTAACGATCAGAGAACATTCTAAAGTAACGATCAGAGAACATTCTAAAGTAACGATCAGAGAACATTCTAAAGTAACAATCAGAGAACATTCTAAAGTAGCGATCAGAGAACATTCTAAAGTACCGATCAGAGAACATTCAAAAGTAACGATCAGAGAACATTCTAAAGTAACGATCATAGAAAATTCTAAAGTAACGATCAGAGAACATTCTAAAGTAACGATCAGAGAACATTCAAAAGTAACGATCAGAGAACATTCTAAAGTAACGATCAGAGAACATTCTAAAGTAACGATCAGAGAACATTAAAAAGTAACGATCAGAGAACATTCAAAAGTAACGATCAGAGAACATTCAAAAGTAACGTTCAGAGAACATTCTAAAGTAACGATCAGAGAACATTCTAAAGTAACGATCAGAGAACATTCAAAAGTAACGATCAGAGAACATTCAAAAGTAACAATCAGAGAACATTCTAAAGTACCGATCAGAGAACACTCAAAAGTAACGATCAGAGAACATTCTAAAGTAACGATCAGAGAACATTCTAAAGTACCGATCAGAGAACATTCAAAAGTAACGATCAGAGAACATTCTAAAGTAACGATCAGAGAACATTCTAAAGTAACGATCAGAGAACACTCAAAAGTAACGATCAGAGAACATTCTAAAGTAACGATCAGAGAACATTCTAAAGTACCGATCAGAGAACATTCAAAAGTAACGATCAGAGAACATTCTAAAGTAACGATCAGAGAACATTCTAAAGTAACGATCAGAGAACATTCTAAAGTAACGATCAGAGAACATTCTAAAGTAACGATCAGAGAACATTCTAAAGTAACGATCAGAGAACATTCTAAAGTAACGATCAGAGAACATTCTAAAGTAACGATCAGAGAACATTCTAAAGTAACGATCAGAGAACATTCTAAAGTAACGTTCAGAGAACATTCTAAAGTAACGATCAGAGAACATTCTAAAGTAACGTTCAGAGAACATTCAAAAGTAACGATCAGAGAACATTCTAAAGTAACGATCAGAGAACATTCTAAAGTAACGATCAGAGAACATTCTAAAGTAGCGATCAGAGAACATTCAAAAGTAACGATCAGAGAACATTCAAAAGTAACGATCAGAGAACATTCTAAAGTAACGTTCAGAGAACATTCAAAAGTAACGATCAGAGAACATTCTAAAGTAACGATCAGAGAACATTCTAAAGTAACGATCAGAGAACATTCTAAAGTAACGATCAGAGAACATTCTAAAGTAAAGATCAGAGAACATTTTAAAGTAACGATCAGAGAACATTCTAAAGTAACGATCAGAGAACATTCTAAAGTAACGATCAGAGAACATTCTAAAGTAACGATCAGAGAACATTCTAAAGTAACGATCAGAGAACATTCAAAAGTAACGTTCAGAGAACATTCAAAAGTAACGTTCAGAGAACATTCTAAAGTAGCGATCAGAGAACATTCAAAAGTAGCGATCAGAGAACATTCAAAAGTAACGATCAGAGAACATTCAAAAGTAACGATCAGAGAACATTCTAAAGTAACGATCAGAGAACATTCAAAAGTAACGATCAGAGAACATTCAAAAGTAACGATCAGAGAACATTCTAAAGTAACGATCAGAGAACATTCTAAAGTAACGATCAGAGAACATTCTAAAGTAGCGATCAGAGAACATTCAAAAGTAACGATCAGAGAACATTCAAAAGTAACGATCAGAGAACATTCAAAAGTACAATCAGAGAACATTCTAAAGTAACGATCAGAGAACATTCAAAAGTAACGATCAGAGAACATTCAAAAGTAACGTTCAGAGAACATTCAAAAGTAACGATCAGAGAACATTCTAAAGTAACGATCAGAGAACATTCAAAAGTAACGATCAGAGAACATTCTAAAGTAACGATCAGAGAACATTCTAAAGTAACGATCAGAGAACATTCAAAAGTAACGATCAGAGAACATTAAAAAGTAACGATCAGAGAACATTCAAAAGTAACGATCAGAGAACATTCAAAAGTAACGATCAGAGAACATTCTAAAGTAACGATCAGAGAACATTCAAAAGTAACGATCAGAGAACATTCTAAAGTAACGATCAGAGAACATTCAAAAGTAACGATCAGAGAACATTCAAAAGTAACGATCAGAGAACACTCTAAAGTACCGATCAGAGAACACTCAAAAGTAACGATCAGAGAACATTCTAAAGTAACGATCAGAGAACATTCTAAAGTACCGATCAGAGAACATTCTAAAGTACCGATCAGAGAACATTCTAAAGTACCGATCAGAGAACATTCTAAAGTACCGATCAGAGAACATTCTAAAGTAACGATCAGAGAACATTCTAAAGTAACGATCAGAGAACATTCTAAAGTAACGATCAGAGAACATTCAAAAGTACGATCAAAGAACATTCTAAAGTAACGATCAGAGAACATTCTAAAGTAACGATCAGAGAACATTCAAAAGTAACGTTCAGAGAACATTCAAAAGTAACGTTCAGAGAACATTCTAAAGTAGCGATCAGAGAACATTCTGAAGTAGCGATCAGAGAACATTCTAAAGTAACGATCAGAGAACATTCAAAAGTAACGATCAGAGAACATTCAAAAGTAACGATCAGAGAACATTCTAAAGTAACGATCAGAGAACATTCAAAAGTAACGATCAGAGAACATTCAAAAGTAACGATCAGAGAACATTCTGAAGTAACGATCAGAGAACATTCTAAAGTAACGATCAGAGAACATTCTAAAGTAACGATCAGAGAACATTCAAAAGTAACGATCAGAGAACATTCAAAAGTAACGATCAGAGAACATTCAAAAGTAGCGATCAGAGAACATTCAAAAGTAACGTTCAGAGAACATTCAAAAGTAACGATCAGAGAACATTCAAAAGTAACGTTCAGAGAACATTCTAAAGTAACGTTCAGAGAACATTCAAAAGTAACGTTCAGAGAACATTCTAAAGTAACGATCAGAGAACATTCTAAAGTAGCATTCAGAGAACATTCAAAAGTAACGTTCAGAGAACATTCAAAAGTAACGATCAGAGAACATTCAAAAGTAACGATCAGAGAACATTCAAAAGTAACGATCAGAGAACATTCTAAAGTAACGATCAGAGAACATTCTAAAGTAGCGATCAGAGAACATTCTAAAGTAACGATCAGAGAACATTCTAAAGTAACGATCAGAGAACATTCTAAAGTAGCGATCAGAGAACATTCTAAAGTAACGATCAGAGAACATTCTAAAGTAACGATCAGAGAACATTCTAAAGTAACGATCAGAGAACATTCTAAAGTAACGATCAGAGAACATTCTAAAGTAACGTTCAGAGAACATTCTAAAGTAACGATCAGAGAACATTCTAAAGTAGCATTCAGAGAACATTCAAAAGTAACGTTCAGAGAACATTCAAAAGTAACGATCAGAGAACATTCAAAAGTAACGATCAGAGAACATTCAAAAGTAACGATCAGAGAACATTCTAAAGTAACGATCAGAGAACATTCAAAAGTAACGATCAGAGAACATTCTAAAGTAGCGATCAGAGAACATTCTAAAGTAACGATCAGAGAACATTCTAAAGTAGCGATCAGAGAACATTCAAAAGTAACGATCAGAGAACATTCTAAAGTAACGATCAGAGAACATTCTAAAGTAGCGATCAGAGAACATTCTAAAGTAACGATCAGAGAACATTCAAAAGTAACGATCAGAGAACATTCAAAAGTAACGATCAGAGAACATTCTAAAGTAGCGATCAGAGAACATTCTAAAGTAACGATCAGAGAACATTCTAAAGTAACGATCAGAGAATGATCAGAGATCAGTTTCCATAAGGTTTGAAGAATGATACAATGGAATGTTCCCTTAACTTTTGTATAAGGAAGAACTTAACAGGAACGTTAGCAAAACGTTCTTAGAACATATCTTTGTCAGCTGCGAGACGAGCAAAGTATACTTGGGGTTTCAAGCGTGCTTAAGCCGCCAAATATACACAACAATATGTCAAAATGTCCGTCTTGGCGAGTATTTACATAAAGACAGTCAGTTAGTGTTTCGTGAATAAACAGTTGGGAAAGAAATCGGATGTGTGTCATTATATTAGATCCATGCATTCAGTCTTAAATACCTGATGCTGTCTGTCATTCATGTTAAAGGCAAAATCACTCACTGCTCTTGACTGAATAACTTTAGTAACTTTAATACGAATCATTGTATATTTAATATATACAGTGAAAACTATGCAGTTTTTACAACTATACAAACACAAGTCTCTCATACACTTTTCCTGAAAAACAAACAAGGATCCAGATCACGAAACAAAGGGATGCAGAACCTGTCAGACACTGAGTGTGAGTGTTTTTGTTATTGTCAGTGTGTGTGTGTGTGTGTGTGAGAGAGAGAGAGTGTGAGTGCTCTTGTTTGTCGTTTATGAGATTCTGATGATCTTAATTTAGGCTAACTACATTTAAATGTATTCTCTCGTTCTCTCTACACAGTTGGTGGCCATCAACACAGACTATGAGCGTCTGAAGAAGGAAGGACCTGACTTTTAAAAGACCTCAGAGGATCAACACACACACACACACACACACACACACACACAGACACACACACAGTACCCCTGATACTCCTGCATCCACTGAAAACAAATTAAATCACTTATTTTAATAGCTAGCTAAAAATATGAAGCAGCACTGTTTTCAAGATTAATAATAATAAATGTTTCTCGAGCATCAGATCCTCATATTAGAGTGATTTCTGAAGGATCATGTGACACTGAAGACTGGAGTAATGATGCTGAAAATTCAGCTTTGATCACAGGAATAAATGTCACTTTACTATATAAATTGTAATATTTCACAAATACATACATCTGTACTTCACATGTGAGGTGTGATGATGTATTGAGGTTTGACATCAGTGATGATTCGCACGCGTCTCATGATAACCGATCTCAACTGAACTCACCACAAAATTGCAATTTCTGAGTGAACTATTCCTTTAAAAAAACAAACATGAGAATCAAATGTGTTTGTCACACACGTCACAGTTTGAGTCGCTATTTGTTCGAGAACACAAATGTGCGGCGTCTTTGTCCACCCGCCGAAAACCAAATGTTTGTGGCCCTTTAGAAAAGCCTGTAAGTTTGTTGTGGGCATATTTGCAGGACATTAGGAGGGAGAATTGCGGGGCAGCGCGAGCATACTGAGAATAATGCATGTTATCTAGCAGCAATCACTCCTGTCCTCTGCACAGCTGGGTTCCCAAACACACACACACACACACACACCGAAAGCATTCAGTGCTTCAATAAAGAGTATGCTCCTCATCTCTGCCTTCACACACACACACACACACACACCTCCAGACGCTCCACCTGCGGCGTGTAAGAGCTGCTTCTGTCAGGCTCCAGCACATGCTGACAGGTAATCAGGTTGGTTGAAGAAATGCATGAGGCATAATCACACACACACACACACACACGGGCCGTCATTACCTAAGCGGAAGGCGCTGTGACCCGTCACGATTGCATTGCCTCCATTTGTTATTTTTTTTGTATCACTATTCATCAACAGGCCGAACACACACACACACACACACACACACAGTGAGCGAAACACCTCCGACCGTCCCGCTATACAACTACAAACAACTACAGAAACAATCACAATAAATAAATAAACGATGCATATTCTGCTCTAATATTCACATGAGCTGCAAAGAAAGACCCGAGCTTGAGGAGTTCAGAGACTCGTGACGGCCGTGTGTGTGTGAGCATCTGAAGATCACATTGATTAATATAAGGCCCCGTTCACACCGCAAGTCCTAATGCTCAATTCAGATTTTTTGCTCAGATCCGATTTTTTGATTGGCTGTTCACATTACCTTTTAAAATGTGACCTATATCTGATTGCAGTGTGAACTGTTTGACGTTTTAAACTAACCGGCATGCGCAAAAGAACAATAACAATGACATCAGACGCAGCACGCGGTTGCACTAAAGTTCAAGAGGTTATGGAGGGAAGTCAGCATATTCGCATTTATTTCATAATGTTTGTGTAATGGAAACTTTTGCGGGTTTATGGTTGCAAATTCACTACAGAGATCTGTGTGGATGCGTAGACGAAGCCAGGAGTGGTGGGAATATGACGTGAATAGTTTCACTGAGACGCTGTTCTCCTGTGTCCCCTTTCTTCCATTTCGTGTGCAATTTTTTCAAAAACGGAGCGGTTACGGTGGGTCCTTCTAGCTTGAATTGAAGTATCTCCCCCTATACTACTTAGATCTAACACCTCACTCTCACTGACTCGCTTCATCGCTGTTCTCCATATCTAGTCAAGTTTTAATGTTAGGCTACTGTCTGTGTCTGTTGTGTCTAGGGCTTCGCCGGCGCATAATTGTGACAAATGTCGACGTAGATTGACGTAAAAGTCGCATCAAATCCGCCTTGATTGTTCACACTGCGGCCGCATTGAAAAAAAATCAGATCTGGGTCTGATTCAGGACCACATATGTATGTGGTCTAAATCTGATTTGAAAAAATCAGATCTGGGCTAGATTTGAGTGTTCACACTACCTCTGAAGAAGTCTGACCTGGTCACTTGACCCCAAAAAAATCAGATTTGGGCCACTTTTGCCTGCAGTGTGAACGGGGCCTTAGATCTGCTGTAAATGCTCATCCATTACTAGAACTAAACAATGCATGAAATTCACCTCACCATTGTTATATAAGCAGCATCATATCCAAATATAAGTCTCTATTCAGTTAATATAAACACCCTTCAGGAATGTCATGCAACAAACAAACAAGTAGTGACTGAAAATATCTATGTCTGTCAATTTGTTTTTTAGATAAAAAAAACTAACTAGGAACCAGATATGCAAATTAGCTTGCATTTTAATATCTATGTGCAATGCAAATAGATTTAGTGCTGAAATCATGCGTTTGTACTGTGAAGTCAAGCATCTTGATGAATTCTGGACAATAGAACACGTAGTGATGGAGATGCATGTAAATATCAATTACATGCTGAAAAACTTTAACAGTTATACAAATGAAAAACTAGTTTTAGACATTTTTTTGACTTACCTGCATTCATCATAACTTGTAACTGCTGCATCGTGATTCTAATAACAGTATGAAATCAAAATGATGAGGTTGTGCATTTAGAAATACTAGACACTACATCTGAAATAAAGGAAAATCACAATCAGTTTTTGAAGGAATAACAGCAAACAATGAAGATTCAGTGATCAGTTACTCACCCTCACTTCATTCATTGTTCTTCTTGAGCAGACGTACCGCAGACGTTTAGAAGACGTTGAGCAGACGTTCAGCAGACGTTCAGAAGACGTACAGCACACGGTTAGCAGACGTTGAGCAGACGTTCAGCAGACGTTCAGAAGACGTACAGCACACGGTTAGCAGACGTTGAGCAGACGTTCAGCAGACGTTTAGAAGACGTTCAGCAGACGTTGAGCAGACGTTTAGAAGACGTTGAAATGACGTTCAGCAGACGTTGAGATGACGTTCAGCAGACGTTTAGAAGACGTTCAGCAGACGTTTAGAAGACGTTCAGCAGACGTTTAGAAGACGTTCAGCAGACGTTCAGCAGACGTTGAGATGACGTTCAGCAGACGTTTAGAAGACGTTCAGCAGACGTTTAGAAGACGTTCAGCAGACGTTTAGAAGACGTTCAGCAGACGTTTAGAAGACGTTCAGCAGACGTTCAGCAGACGTTGAGATGACGTTCAGCAGACGTTTAGAAGACGTTCAGCAGACGTTTAGAAGACGTTCAGCAGACGTTCAGCAGACGTACAGCAGACGTTTAGAAGACGTTTAGAAGACGTTTAGAAGACGTTCAGAAGACGTTCAGCAGACGTTCAGCAGACGTTTAGAAGACGTTCAGCAGACGTTCAGCAGACGTTTAGAAGACGTTCAGCAGACGTTTAGAAGACGTTCAGCAGACGTTTAGAAGACGTTCAGCAGACGTTCAGCAGACGTTTAGAAGACGTTCAGCAGACGTTTAGAAGACATTCAGCAGACGTTCAGCAGACGTTTAGAAGACATTCAGCAGACGTTTAGAAGACGTTCAGCAGACGTTTAGAAGACGTTCAGCAGACGTTTAGAAGACGTTCAGCAGACGTTTAGAAGACGTTCAGCAGACGTTCAGCAGACGTTTAGAAGACGTTCAGCAGACGTTTAGAAGACGTTCAGCAGACGTTCAGCAGACGTTCAGCAGACGTTTAGAAGACATTCAGCAGACGTTTAGAAGACGTTCAGCAGACGTACAGCAGACGTTTAGAAGACGTTCAGCAGACGTTTAGAAGACGTTCAGCAGACGTTTAGAAGACGTTCAGCAGACGTTCAGCAGACGTTCAGCAGACGTACAGAAGACGTTCAGCAGACGTTTAGAAGACGTTCAGCAGACGTTCAGCAGACGTTTAGAAGACGTTCAGCAGACGATGAGCAGACGTTGAGATGACGTTCAGCAGACGTTGAGCAGACGTTAAGCAGAATGTTCACGCGGCTCATTTACAGTGAAATCAGACTGTGATCAACACAAATCAGATCTGAGAGCCACAGTAAGACTTTATGACTTTAGTTTTGGAATAAAGTCCCACGGACTAGTGGTATATGACACTGTTAGGGAGCTTTTTGTAGTTTCATTCTTGGCTGAACTACTCCTTTAATTATCAATGGTTGTTTCTACAGGGTCCTGTTTAATAACGCAAACACACGGTGAGAGAAGCAGCACAGTCAGTTCAGGCCTCCAGCTCCGTGTTCTGCATCACGTGTGTGTGTTTGTGAGTTAGTGTGTGAGTAAGTGTGTGTGAATAAGTGTTTGTGTGTGTATATTTGTGAGTGAATGAGAGAGTGTGTGTTTGAGAGTGTGAAGTGAGAACAGCTTCCTCGAGCTGTTGGTCACAGCTGAGACTTCAGTGTGAAAATCTGTTTACCAGACATGTGTGTGTGTGTGTGTGTGCAAGTGTTCAGCTCAGGTGTAAACAAACACAATTGTGTGTTTGCATGGCTGTCAAATGTACACAGACCTGAGGCAGAATATTAAAGTATCAAGACAAAAGCAAACTTCAGTGAAAGCAAAGAAGTTCCCGTATTAAATTTGACTTAATGTCACCGTGAAATCAACATTTTCCAAGAAATATTACAGTGTCAAAATGATTTATCGGTGCACATCATCATTATTGTGTTAATAATGTAGAATCAGAATAAGTTCCTCTCGCAGAATCTCTTCTCTTCTCTGATGATGTGGGCAGGGCTATAACCTGTCACTCACATGAGATCAGCCAATAGCAAACCACAACCATCCAATCAATTCCCCACAGACACAATCAAGCCCCGCCCACATGTGTTCTTGTTCCAGAAGCGTTTCACTCTGATATATACGGCGCAATAGAGAAGAAAATACTTTTTCTTGCCGACCTTTAAAGGTAAACTTGTTTCCATTAGCTTTAGAGACAGACTGAACTGATTAATGACACAGACTGATAGAAATTTAGCTCATATGATCCCAAAACACACAAAATGATCGAAAAAGATTTTTGCCATGAAAATGTAAAGTACTCAGTCTGTAGTATTTTAGAGGAAATTACAGTAAAACAATCATGTAAATAATGAGGGAAAGAATTTAATTCTTTGCTGATGTCATTCCTAATGATGCTTTGGGAATAAAATGACACTCACAATTCTGACTTTTTTCTCAGAACGGTGACCCAAATAAAGTTCTCAAGTCGCAATTGGGAAAGAAAAAAAGCCAGAATTGTGAAATAAAAAGTCACAATTACCTTTTTTTAGTTTTTTATTCTGTGCACGGCAGAAACAAACTTTCATGTTTCGAACCCGCATTACCCGGCACTGATGGACACTTTTCAAAACTAATGAGGGACGGTGAACAAATATTAATTTCTAGCTGAACTATTTCTGTAAGTACAGTAATGCAGTGTGTGTGTGTGTGTGTGTGTGTGTGTTTGGTTCTTTTTCTTGGTGTCTGTCAGGCTCTTAACTGATGAGTGAAGCTTCTTCCTCATCTCTCCACGGGACTGTTATTGCTCTATAACACACTTACACTTCATTATGAGATGATTACGGCACATTAGCCATTGTTTGGAGTTTAAATGGGACTCTAAAACGGCACTTAAGCCATCGACTCCGTAACGCCACATCACAGTCCTGCAGGGCTTTAATTATGACACGCGTTCAAACGCAGACGTGCCACTCCAAATAAACGAGCGCAATTAATTGCAACCGCTGTCGTCTATCCGTCCCTCGCTGATTTATTGTCAAATTAGTGCCTGTCTGTGCCTGAAGGAGGAGAAGGAGGAGGGAGAGAGGATTCCCGATCATCTCAGCTCGTCTCCGAGATCCCGACGCAAACACACTCCGACACGGACCAATGACGCCAACCGATGACAGCGGGATTCACTCATGATGCGTTTACTCACGGATTGAGAAAACATGGCAGACTGTAGAAACACTTGTGGGAAAACGACAAAGTTTGGCACACCGATAGAGGACAGTCTGAACATGAACCACCGCAGTTTTGGAGTCTCTGACTCAATCCCTCTAGCGCCACCAACTGTTCAAAGTTGCACTATTGTTTATGCTAATCATTTTTTAACCATAAGGGCTAGAAACAAAATTCCTTTTTCTTCCGATTCCTTGACTCAAGATTCGATTGCAACCTCTGAAAATCTTTCCGCCATCTTGAATTTTACGAAAAAACTATTTTTCCGAACTCATCCTAGACAGTTTTGTCTGATTTTCAGCAAAATTAGCTCACGGTATTTTTAGACCAGGTTGGCTTTTTAATAAACGTAACCATTTTTAATAATGCACAAATTAATTTGACGAAGAGAACGTAAAAATGGACGCAAGGCAATATCTCCGCAACGCTTTAGCGTATTGAGATGAAACTTGGTACATGTCATCACAATCATGACCTGAGGATACTTGCAGTGTTTCGGCACAGCGCCACCAACTGGTCAGGAGAAATGGAAAAAAATGTTTGTTTGCTTATAGAACGTTTTGCCCAAACATTGAAGCATACAGAGTCGAATTCTGGGCGTCGACAATTTTGAATTTAGTTGTAAAATATTTTATTTTACGAACATTGTGTCATCAGCACTATGCCCTGAAGTTACTCAAAGTTTCAAGACACCGCCACCATGTGGTCAAAAATTTATAATGAAATTCCAAAAATACCAATATCTCTTGATTATTTTTTAGTGCTGGGCAAGTTAACGCGTTATTATCGCGTTAACGCATTTATTAATTAATGCCGACAATTTTTTTATCGCGCGTTAACGCAGTTTTTTTTTTATTATTATTTTGAAAGTCCGTTGCTCACTGGCTCTGAATACAAATAGGCCTACAGTCAAACCATGATCACAGGAGGGGTGGGATGTTGGTCAGCCAGCAAATAACCCACCCAAACAAGCAGTGGAGAGGCTTTGGCAGGTTCTCTCAGGTGAACAGAAAGGGAGACAGCGCTCCGCGAGTGAATGACAGGCGCTCTATGGATAGTAACCATGGCAACGGCTTCTGTGCGCTGCAGCTGTAGCCTTTTTAACTTAAATTAAAATTATACATAACTTTACCTGATAGGCCTGCGTTTAGTTTAGCGGGGATGCTCTGAATTCCCTCCTGTTGATGTCCTGATAACTATTTAGATTCTGGAAACTCACAAACAGCGAGCCGAGGATCAGTCTCTCTTCCAATGATTTGTGCTGCGCGTCGTGTACAAAAAGTTAGACAATTCAACTTCGGCAACGCGCGGGCGCGTGCGTGAGGCGAGCATGACCGCAACAGTTTCACAGGAACGCACCCGCTTGTCGCTGCACCTGTGCTCGACCACTTCACCTCACTCTAGGCTGATTTATACTTCTGCGTCGGACCTACACCGGAGCCTCTCTACGCTATAGACTACGCGTTGGTTTTCATTTATATATCTGCGTCGTTGTCCGCGTTGACGCGCAATTACACATGCAGAGGGAGAGTGTGAAACCCGGGGAGCGGTTCTAGCAATCACAGCGCTTGCGGTACGCGTAGAATTGACGTTACATTTTTGGAGAGATGCACGTCAGGGTACGCGCGCTACACAGCTACGGCGTGAGTTCGACGCAGAAGTATAAATTGGGCTTTACCTCTGTTTAATGTAATCTTACGTGGGAAACCATGGCATGCCATGACCAAACCTAAGCTGCTATCAGAGAAGTAACGTTGGTCGACTTATATCTGTAGTGATCATGACCCTTTGACTACATAGACTGTTTCTGCTGCTCCCTGATACAAGATACCTGTTCAGAAAAAAAAGAAAAAAGAAAACTGGACTCGTTTTAACTAGCTAGATAAAAGGTAATGCCCTGGCAGTGGCAAATAGCTTTGTTTAAATATTTGATTTGATTACGTTAATGTTTAAGTTGAGATTTACAAGAAATATTTTATTGCTACAGTGTAAAGGGAATACTGCTGGTATAAAGCACCTTATTTGTTTAAAGTTTTTGCAAACCACATGTTATTGCACTTTTGTAGCAGTACATTTAAATCAAAAGTGCGCAATACACTACTTTAGAATTCATTATTCAATTTTACGCGTAACAATGCGATTAATCGCGATTAATCGCAAGAAAATCATGCGATTAATCGCGATTAAATTTTTTAATCGTTGCCCAGCACTATTATTTTTATTTATTTTTTTTAAATGAAACTAGGGTTGATAGATTCCTTCAGTCATACAGGGAACAATGATACCAATTATGCCATATTTGGTTAAAAAAACTTTATTAAATGTTATTTATCAATGTTAAGTCATAAAAATACAACTGTTCATTGTTTTTACGCAGTGCATTAACTAATGTTAACGGATATAACTTATGAATTAAAAAGTGTAATAGTAAATGTAGAAATGAACTAAAATGAATAAATACTGTAGAATAATTGTTCATTGTTAGTTCATGTTAACAAATGAAACCTTATTGTAAAGTGTTACCATTATTATTTGTGAAATGTACTTGCAATTTCTGCGTGAAAACAGTTTCAAAGTAAATCCCACACTAAATTCATTTAAAGAGTTTATGTGTTGAAATCGGCAAGTAAACGCCACAATAGGCAATATTCAAAATATAATTACTTATTTCTTTCTTGTGATTTTAGGGTTTGACTTGACGTGAACAAACTCTCCCCGGATTCTGAGGTTTAATGCTCACTTTAATCCATTGATTAAGCAGCAGCTCTTTCAGTCTGTCATATTTACTCCAGATGTATTTTTAAATGCATGTTTCTGAATAATCCTCTGACTCAAAGCACATTATTCCACTGAAGATGACGGGCCAGAACTACTGCTGTGATCAGAACAGAGTCGATCAATAATCTCCACCCACAGCGCGCACACACACACACACACACACACACACACACACACACACACACACTTACACACATAAAAAGGATCAGCAAAAAGAGTTGCATTTTTCTACGGCTTGATTTTATTGGGATTAGACGTTTTAGAAAATCATTTGTAAAGATCTGTCCATTTACAAAGAATCATGTTGTGATAAAAATGTTTGTCAGGCAGAATCCTGGAGAATGAACGTGGAAGATTGTAGACGTGTGAAAGTATTTATCAATATCATCTGTTCACGACTGCGGCGTAAACGCTCGGATGAGATCCGACAACGACACACACAAACTCCAGACGTTCGCAGTCTTTACACACACACTACTGTACATTTACAAAAACAGCGTCCATTAGCAAAGGCCGAAGAACTACCAAGACTCGAGTAAAAAAATTGTTCTGAGCTTTTTAGAAGAACAGAAAATGAGAATCACAGTCTGTAAACATTTAGCATCATTAGTCTGTTATAGAATTGTTTGTTCCTCACTCGATATGGAAGATAAAGATTTCGAACATCATCCCGAAGGAACAAATCACTGTCAAATACTGTGTTTCACTCTTCCATGATGGGATTGGGAGATTTCCTACATGCACTACTGGTCACTTTAAGACTTTCAGTACCAGTGAATGATTAATAAACTAGTGATTGATCATAAAGCTAAAGAAATAAAAGAAAAATAGGCCTCTTCGTAGGTGTGTGTTCACGGGAATCGATCCGCTCCGTTTTACCCAGATCTCCGGTTTAATGGTCGTGGAATCCAGGCATTGGGAACGGACGGGCGAAAGCCTCGACGCGTGAACGCAGATCAGCGATACGAGACGCCGTCTCTGCGTCTTCCAGCAGGAAACTCTTGAAATCAGACAGTTTCTCTGAAGATGGAAAAAAAAGGCCTTTCCTTATGGACATTTTTGTCTTTTTCAGTGATTTTTATTTTTTGAATAATTTTGCCTGTGTTAATGCCAACTGCATGCATTTATCCACAGGTGTGTATTTTTATTGGAATTTTAAAGCATATTAAAAACACCACAGACATATAAACAACATGTGATGAATCGATCATTATATTTGGTTTAACCCTTGTGCATCCTTATGGACATTTTTGTCTTTTTCAGTTTTGTTTTGTTTGATCACTTTGCCTGTGTTAATGCGAACTGCATAAAATTTGGCACAGGTGTGTATTTTTATTGGAATTTTACTATTTCACCTTCTTTCCTTTAAAAAAATCTATTTTGCACTAGTAACACAAAATAGTTCCTATCAGCACCTTTTGGACAAACATGTCCCCATTGAAACTGCAATTTTCAATCCCAGTGCCATTTAACTATAAAACGATGCAATCTTTGTTAACAGGCTTTCATTCTGTTGGCAAGGCTTCAAAATTGTAATTTTTACTATTTTTGCCAGATTGTGCCATATTTCCAGGTTTGGCCTATAAAGCAAATTCTCGCTTTATCCCTGTTTTCTGCTTCGGCATATTATAGAGCCAATTGGATAAATTATGCAGCGATAATTGTGTGGGTGTGTTGGTGTGGATGTCAGAGTGTGGTTTGAATGCATGTATTAAAAAAAAAAATGTATACCATGGTCTGGGTGAATACTCGATTCTGATTGGCTGCAGGGTGTCCATTAAAAGGTGATAGAGGACACCTAGTAAAGGAGTTCTAGCGTAACCAGGGAAACCAAGTTATTGTTTGTAAAAACTTAATATTTTAATTAGTTATACAATCGAAATCTAAACTAATGTTTTAAAAATGTGTTATTTGGCAAGTGACCATGGTATAAGCGGGTTAATGCCCATTGTCTAGGTATTACTGGACTTCGGCGGAGGCAACCGTCCATTAATACCTGACAATGGATACCTCGTCGAGCATTACCCTTACGTGTGTGTGTGTGTGTGTGTGTGTGTGCCTGTAATATTTGAGAGAGAAAAACTCTACTGCAAATCACAAACCTAACCACTGTTTGTCCCAGTGAGCTTTGCTGCATCTAATGGGGAAAATGTGTTACTGCGTCCCAACTAAATCTCACTGAAAGCTCATTTTTGGAGATATCAACCTCAAACTGGGAACATAACTTAATTAGATTTATGGCTGTGATTTTCTAGCAGTTTTAGAGTTACATGTTTCATAAAATATACATTTTATAGATAATATAATGTTCATAAATTATTTTCATAAACTTAAACCTATATAACTTTTTTTTCGGTTTTACTTATTACTATTTTTTTTACTTCAACAAGTATTGCCAAGAGTCTTCTTTAAAATGAGACCAAACTTAAGTCTGTGCTCCCAAGCTTCAAATTTCTATGACAGTTTTTTGACACGGATATTTTTGTATATGTATTTGATATTTTGATATATCTGTAACTTTTTTTAATTGATGCACAAGGGTTAATGTAAGAGAAAATGACAGAACAGTAAGCTGTTTTCCTGCATGTATTTTTTCTTTTAATGTAGCAAAAGAACATGCAGTAATGCTGTCCGATACACACTCAATAGAGCCCGCTAGACAGCGTATGGTTTATTCATGTGGTTTCCACTGGTTTACTCACTGGTCTTGGTCTTCACGTCCACAGCGATCTTGATGCCCTGATCTATGAAATCCACAACCTGATGAAAGTCTGATTCCTTGAACTGGCGTGACGTGAGTGCAGGGGTTCCTGGGACACCAGAAGATGAATTACAGCACTCAATTCCATACTCCTATATTTTATGTGAATTTTTTGGGGAAAACGCCAAGACGCGCTTAAAATCTTACAAATGCGCATAAAAAAACTCATGCACTCAATTGCTATGTTTCCATACACCTAATATCATGTGAATTTTGGGATATTGCATAAAAAACACCATAAAATCTTAAAAATGCGCATTAAAAAACTAAATTGAGATGGAAACTATTTTTATCCGATAAGAAGACATGCGCATAAACTATGATGGAAACACATTTACTGAATACATCCCTTGATGTGAGAAGAGGAAGTTCATTTGATACAAGATTATTAAAACAATAATGATAATAAATTCTGCAATATTCAATTAAGAAAAACAAGAATGGCCATTTTGACATCACAGTGACTTTAAAATCAAATGTTTGTCTGTGAAACACAAATGAACTTCCTCATGGGAAAGTAGGTACTGGTGTAATTACATATAACACCGTTTCCATCCACCTATTATTATGTGAATATTGGTATATCGCATAAAACAACACTATATGGAAACAGTAAGATGCACATAACATTTCAAATAAATCTCTTGATGTGTGACTTTCCCTCAGCGTCAGCTGTGATTGGCTAACTGGAGTAACCGGTGGACCAATGGCGTCGCAGCGTCTCTAATGTTGGTTTGGTGTTTCTGAAACGCCGGAGTGGAAGTGTGTGTTCAGAGTAATTGGGTGTAATTCCCTCCAGAAGCGTCTCACACACACGAGTGTGTTCCCAAACACCAGCATCCGAACGCCAGAGAACACGACAGCGTTTACTGTGTTTCGTCTCACGCTCGACACACACTCGTTCATGATGACGCTCGACACACACTCGCTCATGATGACGCTCGACACACACTCGTTCATGATGACGCTCGACACACACTCGCTCATGATGACGCTCGACACACACTCGCTTATGATGGCGCTTGACACACACTCGCTTATGATGACCCTCGACACACACTCGTTCATCATGACGCTCGACACACACTCGTTCATGATGACGCTCGACACACACTCGTTCATGATGACGCTCAACACACACTCGCTCATGATGACGCTCGACACACACTCGTTCATGATGACGCTCGACACACACTCGTTCATGATGACGCTCGACACACACTCGTTCATGATGACGCTCAACACACACTCGCTCATGATGACGCTCGACACACACTCGTTCATGATGACGCTCGACACACACTCGCTCATGATGACGCTCAACACACACTCGTTCATGATGACGCTCAACACACACTCGTTCATGATGACGCTCGACACACACTCGTTCATGATGACGCTCGACACACACTCGTTCATGATGACGCTCGACACACACTCGTTCATGATGACGCTCGACACACACTCGTTCATGATGACGCTCGACACACACTCGCTCATGATGACGCTCGACACACACTCGTTCATGATGACGCTCGACACACACTCGTTCATGATGACGCTCGACACACACTCGTTCATGATGACGCTCGACACACACTCGCTTATGATGACGCTCGACACACACTCGTTCATGATGACGCTCGACACACACTCGTTCATGATGACGCTCGACACACACTCGCTCATGATGACGCTCAACACACACTCGTTCATGATGACGCTCAACACACACTCGTTCATGATGACGCTCGACACACACTCGTTCATGATGACGCTCGACACACACTCGTTCATGATGACGCTCGACACACACTCGTTCATGATGACGCTCGACACACACTCGTTCATGATGACGCTCGACACACACTCGTTCATGATGACGCTCGACACACACTCGTTCATGATGACGCTCGACACACACTCGTTCATGATGACGCTCGACACACACTCGCTCATGATAACGCTCGACACACACTCGTTCATGATGACGCTCGACACACACTCGTTCATGATGACGCTCAACACACACTCGTTCATGATGACGCTCAACACACACTCGCTCATGATGACGCTCGACACACACTCGTTCATGATGACGCTCGACACACACTCGCTCATGATGACGCTCAACACACACTCGTTCATGATGACGCTCAACACACACTCGTTCATGATGACGCTCGACACACACTCGTTCATGATGACGCTCGACACACACTCGTTCATGATGACGCTCGACACACACTCGCTCATGATGACGCTCGACACACACCTGTTTATGATGACCCTCGACACACACTCGTTCATGATGACGCTCGACACACACTCGCTCATGATGACGCTCGACACACACTCGCTTATGATGGCGCTCGACACACACTCGCTTATGATGACGCTCGACACACACTCGTTCATCATGACGCTCGACACACACTCGTTCATGATGACGCTCGACACACACTCGTTCATGATGACGCTCAACACACACTCGCTCATGATGACGCTCGACACACACTCGTTCATGATGACGCTCGACACACACTCGTTTATGATGACGCTCGACACACACTCGTTCATGATGACCCTCGACACACACTCGTTCATGATGACGCTCGACACACACTCGTTTATGATGACGCTCGACACACACTCGTTCATGATGACGCTCGACACACACTCGTTCATGATGACGCTCGACACACACTCGTTCATGATGACGCTCGACACACACTCGTTCATGATGACGCTCGACACACACTCGTTCATGATGACGCTCGACACACACTCGTTCATGATGACGCTCGACACACACTCGTTCATGATGCGCTCGACACACACTCGTTCATGATGACGCTCGACACACACTCGTTTATGATGACGCTCGACACACACTCGTTCATGATGACGCTCGACACACACTCTGTGATAAAGTCACATTAGCGGCCACCGCTGGGGAAGCAGGACTGGCACACACACATATATACGCACATACATACTGACCTCGTTCACGTCGATCCTCCCTGCCTTTGCCGCTATCATCGTAGCGGGTGCACACGCGATGCTGATAGCACATGGACATTCTTCCATTTCTCCACTCTCCCTTCCATATTAATTTCCCGGTCATTTCATACACTTACACTGCACTGTCTTGTTGTTTCGCCTCTGTGTTGTTTGTCTGTGTGGGCGTAGTCAAGTCCTCCGGCGGGAAAGTTTAGCCGGCCGAACCGAACGATCGAGTGGCGGCCATTTATGATGTCATGGCCGGGTCGTGCCAGCGAATCGAAACCGGAAGCTGACGAAACCATTGTCTAGTGTGAATAGGTGTTCCTGTGGGTATTTGAATGGAAAAATTATGTGTTAAGTGGATTATGTGTGAATGGTTTATGTGTTTATTATACACTCACCTAAAGGATTATTAGGAACACCTGTTCAATTTCTCATTAATGCAATTATCTAATCAACCAATCACAGGCAGTTGCTTCAGTGCATTTAGGGGTGTGGTCCTGGTCAAGACAATCTCCTGAACTCCAAACTGAATGTCAGAATGGGAAAGAAAGGTGATTTAAGCAATTTTGAGCGTGGCATGGTTGTTGGTGCCAGACGGGCCGGTCTGAGTATTTCACAATCTGCTCAGTTACTGGGATTTTCACGCACAACCATTTCTAGGGTTTACAAAGAATGGTGTGAAAAGGGAAAAACATCCAGTATGCGGCAGTCCTGTGGGCGAAAATGCCTTGTTGATGCTAGAGGTCAGAGGAGAATGGGCCGACTGATTCAAGCTGATAGAAGAGCAACTTTGACTGAAATAACCACTCGTTACAACCGAGGTATGCAGCAAACCATTTGTGAAGCCACAACACGCACAACCTTGAGGCGGATGGGCTACAACAGCAGAAGACCCCACCGGGTACCACTCATCTCCACTACAAATAGGAAAAAGAGGCTACAATTAGCAAGAGCTCACCAAAATTGGACAGTTGAAGACTGGAAAAATGTTGCCTGGTCTGATGAGTCTCGATTTCTGTTGAGACATTTAGATGGTAGAGTCAGAATTTGGCGTAAACAGAATGAGAACAGAAGCCTTGTTACCACTGTGCAGGCTGGTGGTGGTGGTGTAATGGTGTGCGGGATGTTTTCTTGGCACAATTTAGGCCCCTTAGTGCCAACTGGGCATCGTTTAAATGCCACGGCCTACCTGAGCATTGTTTCTGACCATGTCCATCCCTTTATGGCCACCATGTACCCATCCTCTGATGGCTACTTCCAGCAGGATAATGCACCATGTCACAAAGCTCGAATCATTTCAAATTGGTTTCTTGAACATGACAATGAGTTCACTGTACTAAAATGGCCCCCACAGTCACCAGATCTCAACCCAATAGAGCATCTTTGGGATGTGGTGGAACGGGAGCTTCGTGCCCTGGATGTGCATCCCACAAATCTCCATCAACTGCAAGATGCTATCCTACCAATATGGGCCAACATTTCTAAAGAATGCTTTCAGCACCTTGTTGAATCAATGCCACGTAGAATTAAGGCAGTTCTGAAGGCGAAAGGGGGACAAACACAGTATTAGTATGGTGTTCCTAATAATCCTTTAGGTGAGTGTATATATATATATATATAGGGAATTAATTATTATGGATAATCAAATAGATGAAGTATTTGTATATGTATTAACTGTTATATGTTCCGGGAATTGGTCTGGCCCAAAAACGGGCGGGGTTTGGCCTATTTAAGCCAAGGCCAAACCTAAAGTCAGGACTTGTTAACCAAGTCGGAAGCGAGAGTGCAACTGTGGTGCCTCAAGCAAGAAAAACCTTTGTGTGCTGTAGATACGTTTTTTTTAAAAAGAGTTTTTCGTCTTTGTTTTTCTGTTGTTATACTTTTTAGGTTTTTTTCTTTTCTTTTCTTTTGTGGGCACCTGTAAATATACTTCACTGTGGACGGTCTTCTTATTGGCCCTGTAAATAAATTCCACCTTGCACGAAGTGTTTCTGCGAGTGCGCCATCCTTTACATCCGTTCACGGACTCACATTTCTCCC